GGGGGGGGGGGGAGAGAGAGAGAGAAAGAGGGATTAGGGCTCCATCGGTGAAGTGGGGATGATGTAGCTGTGGATAGGAACGATGAGAATCAAACCCTAGAATCAATGGAGATGAAGAAGCGGAGAGAGAGAGGGAGCAGAATGGAGAAGAGGAGATCATATATGGAAAGCGAGGAGGTGAGTGCTTATTAGTAGTATATATACGTCTGACAATTATACGTATTTTCTTAATGCATTCCATCAAATTATTATATGATCTTTAAAAAAATAAAATAAATCGACCAAATTAACTATCTAATAGTTTTTTTCTTTTAACCTTTTTAATTTAATTTTTTTATTATAATTTAATTTAGATTTAATAACAAAATAATTAATTTTTGATTTAATAATATTTTTTTATAAAGATAATAATTAAACATTCTGTTAGAAGATGATGATTATCTTAATTATATTTTAGATTTTCTATATTTAAAAATTGATGTTTATCTTGTATTTGATTATGTTTATCTACAGTTAGTTACACAAATTTAAAAATGAAGTTTTAATAAGTTGAACTTACGCAAAATTACTTGTAATCTTGAATTTTAAGTAATATACATCAATAAACAGTACTTTATGTATAAAAAATGATTTTTAAGAGTTTTTGTCAAATGCTTTATAGTATAGTATAGATTATCAAAAATTGAAATCTCTAAGAAGAAGTTATATTCAACTTTAAGAGTTGTTTTATTTTAATAATTCTATCATTAATTATATCATCAAAATATTTAATATATTTAATGAAATATTATTTATCTCTCCTGATATTTAATTTTAATATTATTTCTCTCTCTTTAATGTGGAGTTTTCGAGATTTCTTCAAATTTGGAGATGTTTACCTTATTTCTCTTCTTTTATATATATTAACATACAAGATAACATAGTTGTTGGAGTAACAAAATTTGTTAAAATCTCTCTTTTTTTTTCATTTTAGTATAGTTGTTGTAGATGCTCTAATTAGGCAAAAAGATCGTTAGAATGGAAGTTATGATGAGAAGATTTATGAATCATTGATCATTTTTAATCTCATTTTCACTCATGAATTACGTTTTACAGGGAATTGATTTGGTCCATATTTGTACACATCATTTGTGTTGACATTCAATTAAGATTGATTTAAGTGTGGAAATCTCTTTTTACATTTTTCACAGAAACCCAACCAAGTATATCATTTATCTATATCTATACTATATTATAAATTATTTGACAAAAACTCTTAAAACCATTTTTTATGCGTAAAGTACTGTTTATTAATACATATTACTTAAAACTCAAGATTGCAAGTATATTGTGCGTAATCTATACTATATTATAAAGCATTTGACAAAAACTCTTAAAAACCACTTTTTATGCGTAAAGTACTGTTTATTAATATATATTACTTAAAACTCAAGATTGCAAGTATATTGTGCGTAAGTACAACTTATTAAAACTCACTATCTGAATTCGTGTAACTAACTATAGATGAACATAATCAAATACATGATAAACATTTCATTTTAAATATAAAAATTATAAATTATCAATTAAGATAATCATTTAGTTCTAACATAATTTTTAATTATTATCTTTATAAAAAATTATATTATTAAACTAAAAATAAATTATTTTATTCTTAAATCTAAATTAACGTATAATCAAAAATTGAATTAAAGAAAATTACACAAAAAAAGAGAATTATCAAATTGTTAATTTGATACTAATATCTATTTGTTTTTCAAATTTTTATGATATCTTCAAATTTATATTTCATTAAAAAAATAAAAAAAACATTATCTTTTTCGCAAAACTACATAAAATCGTATCATATCGATAGAGAAAAATAAAAACTAAACATTAAAATGGAAATTTATCTCGCTGTATTGCGCGAGTACTCTTCTAGTTCTAGCTATATTATAAAGCATTTGACAAAAACTCTTAAAAACCATATTTTATGCATAAAGTACTGTTTATTGATACATTTTACTTCAAATTCAAAATTACAAGTAATTTTGCATAAATACAACTTATTAAAACTCAATTTTTAAATCTATGTAACTAACTGCAGATAAACATAATCAAATACAAGATAAACATTCATTTTAAATTTAGAAAATCTAAACTATAATTAAGATAATTATTAAGTTCTAACAAAATATTTAATTATTACCTTTATAGAAAATTATATTATTAAACAAAAAATAAATTACTTTGTTATTAAATCTAAATTAACGTATAATAAAAAATTGAATTAAAGAAATTACACTAAAAAACGAGAATTATTAAATAGTTGATATGATACTAATATTTCAAAATTTTATGTTATCTTCAAATTTATATTTCATTCAAAAATAAAAATATTATCGTTTTCTCAAWACCACATAAAATCGTATTATATCGATAGAGAAAAATAAAAATTAAACATTAAATGGAGATTTATATCGCTGCATTGTCCGAGTACCCTACTTTTATTACAAAGCATTTGACAAAATCTTTTAGAAACCATTTTTTATGCATAGAGTACTGTTTATTGATGCATATTACTTAAAATTCAATATTACAAGTGAATTGTGCATAAATACAACTCATTAAAGCTTTATGTTTGAATTCGTGTAACTAATTACAGATAAAAATAAACATAGGAATGGGGTGGGGACCTCAATCCCCGTCCCCGATTACTTATTTCTATCCTCGTGCCCATCCCCGCCGGGGAATATAATCGTATCCCCATCCCCAATGGGGAACGGGGATTTTTTTTCTTCTTTTATGTAAGTTATTTTAAATTAAATATGTGGAAAACCATACATGTTAAAATCTCAAACATTTTCAATAAAACTAAAACTAAAATGAATTTAATTTATTACAAAAAAAAACCACAACATCGTAAAAGAATTAATAACCTAAAACCAAAAAAAAAAATCAATTTAATCAAGAAAAACTTAAATTCACATGTATCAAAAGATATTGAGTAATATAAAACCATATCGAGTAATATACAAAACTTATCGAGTAATTGTATTTTGACTTGACATCCAAAAAATTGCATATTAACATCTAAAAAATAACAGTTTTAGATTATAAACCTAGTTAGGAAATAAAAAATTATGAATTAACGTTTTAGTTGAAATAATATATATATATATATATATATCTAACGGATACGGGGCGGGGCAGGAAGTACCATACCCGTCCCCGTCCCCATTCCCGGTTTAAGACAAACGGGGATCCCCTCCCCCATCCCCATTTTGGCGGGGAATCCTCGTCCCCGACCGAGGTGGGTGGACCGGGTTCCCCGACGGGTCGGACCCATTCACATGCCTACATAAAAATAATCAAATAAAAGATAAACATCTCATTTAAAATATAAAAAAAATCTAAAATATAATTAGAATAATCTTTAAGTTCTAACAAAATACTTAATTATTATCTTTACAAAAAAATTACATTATTAAACTAAAAATAAAAAAATACACAAAAAATGAGAAATTTTAAATAGTTTGTTTGGTTGTAATATCAATTTTTTTTTTCAATTTTTTATGATACATTCGTATTTATATTTTATTGAAAAATAAAAACATTATTGTTTTCTCAAAACCACATAAAAGAGCATTATAACATCGGTTGAGCAAAAAAAAAACGAAACAATAAAATCGAGATATATCTCGCTGTATTATGCGAGTACCCTTTTAATAATCTATACTATATTATAATGCATTTGGCTAAAACTCTTAAAAACTCTTAAAACTCTTAAATCCCTAAACGATTTCATCTCTATCCGATTTTATCTCATATCTGAATTCGTGTAACTAACT